GCTTTCTCTACTTCCCTTTGTATTTTGTTTATAGAATCGCGAATCCTCCAGGACACAGAGCGAACGGAAGACAGTGTGGACCAGCGTTGTCCGACCACAGTCGTCAATTCCACAACGAGCATCGCTCTACGCGCCAACCGCGTTCTTCAGGTTGCCATTAAGGAGACAGAAAACAGTGAGGATGCTGTTTACGTGGACAGGGTGAACGAAGCAGTTCAACGACTGAGATCCAGTAAGTGCTTCATAGCTCCCTGTCCCTGTCTCTTCCCACCGGCCATTGTCAGCTACAGTGCGCGCGACGGAGTCTAAAGACCCGTGAAAAAATTCGCTATACTTGATGGCGGTTTAGCCGCCATGTCGGGCTTGGCTTGGGGGTAATGACTCTGACCGAAGCTGGTGAGGAATTTTAGTTGCTATGTGCATCTTCCGGCCGGCTGGCTAGTGACTGCATTTATCCCATGAGATTCGCCAACTACCTGATGCAACCTAAACATATCGTGGATGCTTTCCACCGAAATAGGTCGTGCGTCTAACACATGCTCTGAGTCTCTTTAGCATATGGTCTGAGCCCTTCTAGCTGATGTCGAAGTCGCCCGTTGCGCGGGCCGGGGAGTCTAGTACTGGGTGGATTCTTCGTGTGTATGTGTTTGAGCTGCTTTTCCGTGTGGTCATCATTTTGTATATGTGGTGCCTGGAGTAGGAGGCACTTGTAACAGTTAAGTGCGGCAAATTTTCCAAGTGTTATGTCATTAGTGCAACGATTTTCCCCGCGTGGCGGTGGCGGTGGCGGCCAAGTACGTGTCCCACCATGCCATTGCAATCGCCCTGCAACGACGAAAAGGTCACGCTCGGGGGGGAGTCGCCTGACAGCAGTCTGACATTTATTATAAAAGCCTCCTCCTGCGGGCTTAGCATCCACACTCAATGTCGTGGCGTAATCCGCAAGGATTGTAGCGACAAGGACAGTTTGACCATCGTTCATCGTAAGGCTCCACAACAGGGCGGTGGAGGGACGGTGACTTGAGCGTGGATTAGTTTTAAGTGATAGTAGACATGCGCTGCATCTATCGCACTCTCAATTCCCCCACCCACCTGTGTGCGGTGTCAGGGCAGAGTCATAAAGAG